ATTTCATGTTTTCCGTCCCCTTTTTGCTCATATCTCGGAGGCAAAACGAGCAAGAACGCTCATTTGTACATCATTCTAGAGAGAAGTAAATGGCCTTTTTAGAATGTAAACCATCGATAAGGAAATGCTGGCAGTTTTCTCAAAAAATGTTTGAATTCAAGAAGTTTTAGATTTGCGTGATTTTTTTTGAGTTGGCATTGTTGGATAGAGAATTGAATGGGGGGGTCATGACCCCCATGACCGCCCCCCCTGGATCCGCCCTTGAGTTAAATTCAAAAGCGCTCAAAGCTTCTTTGTCACTCAAATTCCGCACACCCGGTAACAGCAGTGACGCACTAAAATCGTACAACGTGTGCTGCGAATTATACAAGGTTATATCGCAGGCTATTAACGAGAATTCTGCTTTACCGATGCTGGAAGGCGCGGCGGGTAATTTGAATGTCAAAATTTACTTTCGGTTTCTAGAACTGATATCAGGCGTTTTTCTAGTTATCTGGCTGGTTTATCGATTTCTGGCATTATCAGTAAAGGCAACAGCAACGGAAACTGAATTATCTACAGATATAAACCACCGAAATATCCTGAAAAGATTGATTTAACTCTCCCTGCTTGCCGTTTTTCGTCGAGTCCGTCAATCAAGCAACATACGGTTTTGTTTACCAATCCCTCAAGTGCTCCGTTGTTTTTCAGAGGTTTCCAGCACATAACTTGCGGCAAAAAGCGGAAAATTGAACACTATTTTCCATCACAGCGGTAAGTACGATATGGATATATTCAAAATAGGCGCAAAATCGTCATTTTTTTCTATACTTCCGATTTTTTACTATAAATCCCCACCTACATGACACGTGCGGATGCACTTACTTCTATTTCCAGTTCATTTCACATTCTCAACCTTCCAAAATAGGCAGACGGAAATTTTGGAGTTGCAGGTAAATTTTTATCTATTTTTATTGGGATTTCGATCCATTATAGGCTTGGAGGCAACACATCGGTAATCACTTTTAATAGAATCTCCCACAATATGAGTAATTTACATAGAAATCTAGGCGGGGCACTTTAAAGCTCAACCGCGGCCACGTGTGTTTCTGTTTACGCATGTGGGGCTCTTCAGTCAGTTTGTAACGTTACTGAGGTGTTTCAGGTAGAAAGCAGAATGGTGCACGATTCGTCTGATGCCAACGATGAGGCGGCAGTGCCCCAATTTACGGAAATCCCAGCCAAAGGCATTCCTGTGGGCAAATATCGCCTTGTAGGATGGGCAGTCGACACTACCGGCCGCCGTTTGATAGACGAAATTGTTCAACTGGCCGGCTACACTCCGGAGTCGAAGTTTTCTCAGTACATCATGCCCTTTGCTGATTTGAACCCCGTCTACAGTCGCAAGCACAACATCAGGGTGTTCAACGCCATCCGCTACAGGCGGCTAAAGGACATGAGGACTGGCCAGTTCTTGAAAACCAAAAGCGAAATTTCCGCAATCACCGACTTCGTCCAATGGCTGGAAACCGTCAAAGGGGATACCGAAGGCGTTGTCCTCATCTTCCATGAAGTCCGCAAAACCACTCCAGCCATGCTGCTGGAGGCTCTGAAGAGGAACAATCTACTGGACCGCTTTAAGTCTGTTTGTAAAGGGTTTACAAATGGATTTAGCGTGGCGAAAGCAAAGTGTGAAAAGAGCATCAAAACCTACAATCTTCGCATTATGGGCAAGGTTTTGTTGGGGCGCGACAACTCCGACTTCAGCAATGCGGTTGAAAGGGCCTCCACCATCTACGACATTGCGGTTCATCTTGCTCAAGAGGAAACGGAAGAGTTGAGCACCAAGGTTGACGCAGTCAACACTGGAACGGAGCCTGCCCTTATCGACCTGATCTGCCCTTACACCAACCCCATTTCAGCAGAGGAGGAGGAAATTGAAGTTTTTAAGGTGAGCTGATAAGAATAGAATTTTGGAGCTAAAAAGTACAAGTATTTGAAATCTTATATTGGGAATGTCAGCAGCCATTATTTGCAACATTCCCGGCGAATGAAAAAATCTTCATCAGAAATATTCAAGGTTTGCTTTGCAGGGATTTTTTCAGGCAAATCTGTTGTTCCACTCGTTTACCTTATAAACATCGCTTTCATCTCTTTTTGAATATGGTTTTATTGAGTTTTCTCGCTTTCTTTTCTTGTCCTGATTTGTCTTATATATAATATTGGCTCATTTGTCGCTTGCTAATAATGGTTTTCCCCCTTTTTTATTGGCTTGTTTTGTATGTTCTGTTCTTTTCATCATAGTTCGTTATTTAATACACACTTCGTCGGTTCTTTATTGCTTTGATCCAATGGCCGGTTTTGAGACATGCAATACTCGATTTAGAATGCCGCTAAAGCCAGTCAGCGGATTCCCAGCAATTATGGCTTCTCAAGTATATTATTTAAACATGTGTTTTGTTCGAAATCTCCCTCTTATCTTTTATTTTCGAGTTAATCGTGGAGCATCACAAATACATTATTGTTATTATGGCTTAATCAAATACACCATTTGAAAATAACCCGAAATAACAATGTTATCATATATCCATTCTGTATATCGTCGGTTAACAAAAATAAATAAGCAAATGCTGGTTGATTGTGATAACTCCTAACGTATCAGCTCGACAGTAGCTCATGGCATGTGGCTGATTTTTTTAACAGTTTTATTATATTTCTTAATGTTTGTTTTTGCAGGTTTTGTTGCAAAGGCAGAACACTTTCCGACCGGTGTTTGGTGCGCTGATGAGGGCCAGTCCAACAGAAAGACAACACGCTAGTTACCTGAGACGACTTCTGGCTGAAAATAACATCAACTATGACAAATTGAAGGAGGCTTACGAACAAGGAGCCAAAGATGCTCTGGACAAAATCCTGAAGGATGAGGTAAATTCTGAATTTTTTTACTGATATGATTGAATGATGTCGGAACATGAAGTGGGAGCAAATTTGAAAACTGCTACTGCTACATGGTGAAGGCAAGCTTTTGAATCGAAATGAGATCCTGTAAATACTGTTTTATTGTAGTTATTAGGAAAAACATTTAAGCAGTTTTAATTACGTTAATTAAGACAATTGATAATATTTTTTGAAGCCGTTTCTGTGTGACACCTGTGAAGTGGTGTGGCATTGTTCTACTTGCAAAATTTTCTCAGGTTGCTAATGCTAAAGAAGAAGATCTGATCGAGCTACTGGAAATTTTGGACTGTTTCTTTGACCCTGACAAGCAACCGGTGAAACCAAAAACCAGTTGGAACCGTTTTGCCAATCGAAGAACCGGACCCAAGCAATTCAACAAGAACCGTCGTTCTTCGTCCAGATCCAAGAAGGATCCGGAACTGAAGCAGGAATCTAAAGTGGAAAGTGCTGAAAATAACGAAAACGCTGACAACAACATTAGTGCTGCCGCTGACAAAGTTGCAAATGTTCAAGTTCAGCCAGTGGAAGTGCCTGCTATTTAAAATAGATGAATAATCTAGTGCCTTTACTGTATAGTTGAAGATTTATTTAACTTACTAATTGATTAATTTTCCTGGTCTGCAAGTTACTTGCATATAATATTCATTTTTTTATTGCATAGTGTTAAAGGCAATATTTTGTTATTTTCATGTACCTAATTAGACTATTTTATGTTGAGAGTTAAATGATTTATTTTGTGATAATAACGGGTGATTTATTTGTTAATGCAAATGACTTGATGCCTGTTATTTAAATTCTTGATGAATAAAAGTTATTAACATATATGTATAATTTACTGGATATGATTTAATTCCCCTTTTATCACCTTCTCAACTGGGGGTTTTGAAATTAAAACAGAAAAAAAGGTAAGTTTGTTTATGCAAATGGCCTGTTTAGTTAATTAATTTCGTGGATTTTAGGCCATCAAACCTTTGCCCTGCCGGTTTTTCGATTGTTTTCTTCACATGGAAAGATATGGTATAAGATAATTTATTGAGTTTTGAGGTGAGTAGCTTTCATTTCATTAAATTTTATTATTGTTTATTGAGTTTAACCGAAATCTATGTATATCGGATTAGGAAAAATAATTCTAGACAATGGTGAATGTGCATTTTAGAATCACTAAGCTCGTAATTTTTTTCTCAGCAGAAAAACAAACAAATACGGGAATATTCTGCTGAAAAACACTAATCCTCGTACCCCAGTTGGCGAACAAGGCGACAATTGAAAATTCGCGAAAAAACGATTTATCATCAACGTTCGCACGAATAATAAACTCATCTAAATGAGAGTAAAACCTGCACGTTGCAGGGGTTCTAATTTGGACAATATATCTTGAATACCTTAAAAAGAACTCCCCTCCGTGCATTGTCTCTGTCTTTCCACCGGGGCTTAATCGGGAAACTGAAATCACTGAAGGGCCTACTAAACCCTGAAACTGAAAATTCTTCGCCAAACACTTTAACAACAATTCTGTTGGAAGTTTTTCTATTTTGCAAAACGCATCAAGTCACTTCTAAAATTTTATGTTGCAATTATTTTTAAGTCGTTAAAAACACCTCTGAAGTAGGTGGCCGCGTGCTAGCGAAACGTCGGGACCAAATTCCTATTGACGATCCCCTAATGACCCGAAAATCACCAGTTGCTCTATTTAGATTTTAATTAATTCCAGTTGATAGTTTATAATGAAACCATGTGAAAAAATCGAGAATACCAAATTTAACAGGTATTTGTTGAATTTCTTCATTGTGTTATCACAACAGACTTTTTAGGCAAGGTTGCCAGCTCATTATTTATTGTAAACTTGCATAACAGATAACAGACTGTTTATTATTGTGTTCATTTATTCCGATAAAATCTGTGCGTGGTAGAGAAAGATGGAGCTACTATGGGACAAATGTACAAATTCTTGAGTTTATTCTTGAACAAATCACTCTTTTATCGTGCAAATTGGCGTATTTTTCTGCATAAAATTGAGTAATTTTCCTCGAATGAACCTAGTGTGGTTTTCCAAATTTCTGGATCATTCTGGCTTCAAAGGAACATAGTAGGAGCGAGAGTAGTCCAAACTTGGGGGTAACTTCGGCTTGTGACAGAAAGGGTGCAATTTATATTCTGGGGTGCAGTTCCCTCGAACGCCACCATCAATCATTGTGGCGCTGCGCCCCACAGGAGGGATAAAGGCGCCCGAGGGTCACGACGAGGGTGCAAGTGCAATATATGACACGGGAGCCCTGCAGCCCCTCTCTGATGGGACACGGCGAATTAAATGTTGGCATCTCAGGTGTGTTCAGGTGAAGGGATTTGTTGCCGGCGAAACTGCTGGAACTTCAACAGTTTTTTGGTTTTTAACTGGAAATATTTTTGTTAATTTTAATACGGGAAATTAATAATTGAATATTATTCTATGAAATGGCCGACAAAGAAACAAAGCCCACCAAGGCAGTGTCAAAATCGCGACAATGACATGAAGATGTCATTTCTCAAAAAATGGCATGCATCAAAATTTCCAAAAATTGTCAAAGTTTTTCGCGCTTTTTACTAAAAACTGCGATAATTCCAAACGCGGGTGTTTTTCATTGTTTTGTGGTAATTTTCCAACCGATAGTGTGTGATTATGGCAGCAAAGTGCAGGGCAGAAAGTTTTAACACGTAAGAGGTTCCAAATGTGCAAGAAACAAATGTAGGGCTTGTTTTTGGAGGGCGATCTTTAAATATACAATTTGCTAAAATGCGCTAATTTTAGTAGCCCAATTAAGACGATATTTCACTCTATTTGCTTGATACATTTCGCCCTGTTTTCGCCACAGTTAAGTGTCCAGTACAAAACTAGATGAAAATGAACGAAGAAATATAAAGAAACTTTTGTTGCATCCAGAAGGAAATTTAATCTTGCTATTAGTCTATCGCTTTAAGACCGTTGTCGACCAGTTTAGTTGTGGAAACAACGCTCCAGTTTTCAGATCCTTAAGAGTTCCAATCTTTCCTTCTGCCTGTTTGCTGTTGGGATCAGGTATCTGCAAAGCAAACAGACATGATGGCTAAATCCTGTTGACTTAGCAGCATTGAAATCGGGTTATTTGCGATATAAATCAAACAGTTTTAATAGTCACTACTCAGTATTAATTACTTATCTATATATATGGCTTTATTGTTGATAAAACGGTTGAATTGCATCCAAATATGCCCTAAAGGGTTTTGGTTCAAGCAACTGAAGTTTTGAACAAACAGAGAATCGAATGCGATTGGATATTAAGACTGAAACCAACCTCTGAAATCATTTTGCATGAGCGCCTAAAACGACGAAAAACTCACCAGTTTCAGCCTTTTGTCTTTTGCGAATCTATTACTGAAACCAGTGGAAAATTTATTTCTGACGCGTCGCAAGCAAAGCAACGGAAATTCTGTTCCACAACGGCCCCAAAGCCCAAAAAAACCCATCAGTTATTGTCATTGTTCACCAGACTGTTTGGACCTCAAATCGCAGCTTGGAAGTTTTGAAGCGCACCATGAAAAAACTAACCACAAATACGCCAGAAGAAAATAAGCCTATTTGTTCACAGTCTCTCAGTATAAACTTGACTATATTTTCCAACTTTAAACTAATCGAGCCCTCTTAAGCGTGCGGTTCAAGAGTTGGTTTGGGCGACTTCAGTCCCTCAAACTCTTATCAGACCACCCGAGGTGTTGGGTTGAGGGGGTGGTGGTAAACCCTCCGTAGTATTCTCGCTCCGTATGATCCCATATATTCTGCTAAGACCTTTGCGTTCTTTATTACAGGCGTTCTCGATAACGCCCCTATATTATTCGACATTATTTTGGAAATGACTTCTATGTGAGCAGGTTGGAAACTAGCGCGAAACAACCATTGAGCCGCAATGTACATTGGAAAGGGCCGAGTTTCTTCAAAATTATATAATCTTAATACAAAAATACAAATTTCTCTATAACGTGCTCTGGAGAAAGTTTGCGCCAATATAATCACAGAAATTCCCTCGGGTATTGGTTAATCTATCTAACAAGTTCTAAACTTGGTTTAACTCCCTCGCATGCTACTGCCATTAAACTTGATGGCAAACTTTCCCTATTATATTGTTTTTGGATTCATTTTGAGAACGGGACTTTTTGCTTCATTATCTGCCCAACATTTGCCTAACAAATCAACGCAATTCTTGTTTTACTCAAGTAGTTTGCCATAGTTTTCCAAATTGCCGCTGCTGGGTGACGCTTTATACAGCGAATTGACCTCAATTTATTAACATTTTCTCATATCTTCACCCCGGTATAAAGGAAGTCTCAAAAACAGCACAGCTGTACACATAGGAATATTAATTATTAGCGAGTGTGGAGATTGAGCAACGAAATAATTAATAAATTGAGGTAAAACATGCAAAAACACTAGTCTAGCATAGAACTGTAAATATTCCCGGAAATTTGACACAGTTAGACTGTTACTAAAAATATCCTGTTGATTGAACAATTGCCGGATGATAATTTACACTTCTCGTATATTTTGTTTAAATTTGAAAAATATCAGCATGCATCGGACAAATTATGAACCTTCCTAGTTGAAACTTCCACGCATACCAGTTTATAAGTAGCATAAAAGAGAGCTTGAATAGCAATTTTGTATTGTCGAAGATGAAAGGGAGCAGATAATTGCAATTTCTCTCTGGTTTTTACCTTGAAAATTTATATTGTGTTTACCCATTCGCTGAGACTGACTTCCACTGTCGCAGTGCAAACATTTCCAATCCCAAAAAGCAAACAATGAGCCACAACGCAACATTATCAAAGAGATTTAAGTCATGGTGGCTGTTTTTTTTTGGAAATTGCTTTTTGATCCGACTAGGTTTTAGCTTAATTAAGTGGAACTGTTTTCGCCCATTTTCTTGCTACGGCAAAATTAATAATCCGCTGCAATTAAACTGAAGTACCAAACAGCATGTAAATTAATAGAAAAAAAATAACCGTCGCTTTTTAAAGTTTAACTAAGAACAAACAATTAAACCCTAAGATTTCAATATAAAACAGGGCAGTTCGTATTTCTTGTTTATTCCGGAGCGGAAACTCATCAGAGATATTTCAAGTTTTCTCATTTACGCAGCATTCATTTTAAAAATGTTAATTTGCGCCAACTTTTAAAAGCCATTTTATTTACTTTAGTTCTTTTCTCCCAATGACAAAAACATTTAAAGTGCTTCGCAGTTAGTAGTTGGCCTTTTTTTGCTTCCGCTCTCTGATACTTTTTTCCCCTCTCGGTTCAATGTTTCAGAACGTTTGTTACCAAATACATTTAGGAAGTTTCTACAAATAGTTAAAACTTCGCCTGTAGCTCCGTGAGGTTGAGGGAGTTCGGTAATTTTGGATTTTGAAGAAGCGTTTTAAATCCCGAAATCTTCTGGTTCAGTCAGTTTTTTTTAATTGAAAATCGCAGCTAAATTCAAAGGCTTTTGAGTAACAGAGTGTGTTGAGATGCGAATATAAATGTTTCAGTCTAAATTCACCTTTGGCTCCGTAAGCTTTTGATATTCCGGGAATCTGGAAGAGGCGTTTGAACGGTTGAAACCTTCTGGTTTAGCGAGTTTTTCGATGTCAATGTTGAAATTATCTGGAAAAATGCGATTGTGTTTCTGTTAGTTGGAGGAACTCCGAGAATTTTTTCCCGAGTGAAAAAATGTTCTGCATAAATGCGCTTGTAGATCTGTTAGCTTGCTAAACTTCAGGGATCTTCTGACCTAGTCAGATTTTCAATATTATAGATCGAGTAAGTTTTGAGTCAAAAAGTGTTT